ACCGAGTAACGGAGGCTTTCACCATGATTTTCAAAGAAAAAAAATTACCCGTGTCCAATTTGTGAGAAATTGCACAGAAAGACAGAAATAGCAAATCAATCTTCAACCCAAAATGCTCTCTTTGCAGACTCTTCACCAAACAGTAGATGGGTGGCAGAGGTTCAAGAGAAGGAGGAACAAAAATAAAAGGGCGAAGAAGACAAGGAGGCTCTCATATCATACGCAAGGCGGCGGGCGGTGGTGAAATTTGGAAAGGAGAAGGAGGAAAGAAGAATGAAAGGCTGACTCGAGGGAGAAGACGGCTACGCCTACGGTATAGGTCAAAGTCAAGCACGGTGACATAAGGGGATAATTGCAGAAACCTCCCCTGAGGCTTCTAACATATCACTTGGTACCTTTAAACTTTGAAAAATGTCACTCGCCTCCCTTATTTTGGAATTTTTTTTCTAACTTGTGCAACCCACATCAAAATATAATAATTAGAAAACTCATTTTAGAATAGATAATATAATCTCATTCTATAATTACCCTTTTCTTGTGGAATCTTAATTGTCATATCACATTAATTTTATTTCTCAATTTTTATCAACTTGGTCAATATGATTCTTTAATTGAAATTAAAAAGTCGGTAATGGGTTCGAAAGACTCTTAATATTGTTTTATGTCACGAGTTCGAACAATAAATATTAAGATATTTAAAATTATAGATAATTTACAATACTTGTAAAAATAACTTGAAAATTTTATAGTAATGAAAATAATCTTTTTTGGAAACATCACAAACAAGTTTATATATAATTTTTAGCATTTTTTTATTATTCTAGTTTGCAAGCTATTGACTTGGATTAAAAAAATTAGAAAACTTAGAAAATATGAAGTATTTATAAAACTCTTTAAATTAACTCAATACACTTTACAGTAAAGAAAATAATACTTTTGTAACTTGGAAAGTCTTCAAATACACTTTGAAATATTTTGTGTTTTAAAAGCGCACTATATTTTATCCTGTTAGAATTAAAATTTCATGCTTTTGGATTTTGTTTTTAAATTATCATTAATATACTCAAGTTTCTTAAATTATTATATATGTTAAGGAGTAGCACTCCTTTTTTATTTGGCTTTTTTTTAATCCCCATGTACTGAAAACTTTGGTCTATTCCCCTACAGTCCTTGGTTTAAAAAAGTTTTACTAAAAAGTAAGATAACAAAAGGGTAAATTCAGAATAAAATTATATTCTCTCTCCCAAAATGAGTTCTTTAAAATTATATTTTGAAATAGATTTCAAATGCTACAAAAAACTTAAATTAAGAGAGACAAGTGAGATATTTAAAAATTGCTGCCAAGTGATTCTATTAGAAACCTCCGTAGAGGTTTACGAAATTATTCCAAAGATAAAATTATATGTCTTTAATTTGCAAGTAATGGATGAATTGAATTAAGTAAACAATAGAATTAATAAACTACTTGGGCCTTTTTTCGCTATGTGTCATGGTGTAAGGGTGGCAATGGGTCGTGTCGTGTACTTATTGTGTTTTGTCATTATCATTTTCATCTCAGAAAAATCTCAACCCTAACCCAACCCATTAGACTTTCATTTTGTGCTATGTCATGATCTATTTGTTAACGAGTTGATTCAAACGAACTCGCGTAACTCGTTAAATACTCTACACTTATCGTGTCGTATCGTTATCGTGTTTATGTTAGAAAATCTCAACCCTAATCCAACCAATTAGACTTTCATGTCGTAAAACATTAAAAAAATGATAGATGATGAAGCTTCCCAAGCATAATATAAGTTACAAAGTCAACCTTATTTGGATTGCTATTTTTGAAAAATTTCTCCACATTTTGTGAATATTCCTTCTACACATATTTCAATCACCCTTTATCTCACATATATAACATCCTATAAGAAGTATTAAAGTAATTTTTCTCCAAAAACTCTCTAGAAAGTGAGATCCAATTAACCTTTTAGAAACATGGTAGGATATTTCCATAAATGAGAAGATACAAAATATGAGTTTTTAAAACATCTAATTGAAATGTTCAAGCCAAGTTTAATCGTTCTTAGTTTTTACAAAATACTCAAAATGGCTTCTATAGTGTTAATTATTATTATAAAATAAGCACCTTATCGGGTTAGTGTGTCAACCTGCTGGTTGACCAAACCCAACTCACTTACATTCGTGTCACTAACAAGCTGACCCACTAATGATCCATTAAAATTCATTTCGTGCTAAAACCTATTAATTACGGATCATGTTCCAGTCGTATTGTCGTGTCGTGCCAGAAATTGCCATCCCTATCGTTGGATGTCTCTATTGGATAATGATTGCCTGAAAACTCATATATATAAAGTGGCAACAAAAAAAGAAAAATAATTTTAAACCAAAAAATTTTTGTCTATAGCACAACACAAAATCAAGTATTGAATTAATTACATTTACCTCTCCATTTTGACCAAACTACCAATACCTCTTGAGGTTCAAAAGTAACAGTCATCCCATTTGACTTAACAATTGGTAGATGGCATTAAGCATTTTAAAAAACTAGTATAAATACTCGTGCTATGCACAGCAGATTACATTTTTGAAAAAAATTACAATCTATGGAGGAATTTAAAAATAGTAAAATATTATAATCACGGGCACATGAAAGTATATTTAAAAAAATGAAATATTGTAACAATAGTTCAATATATGATAAAAACATCTCCATTATTTATAAACTATCACTTTGATGAAGGTTGGATCTTGAAAAAAAATAGAAATCTATATCATAAATTGAGCGACATAAGGGTCCAATTAAATATAATTGAATATTTAATTTGATAAATAAATGAAATACTTACAAACATTTTGCCTTTGATTTGATAATCTTCTACGAAGGTGTTAACATCCTTCACACCGATCAACTCTGAGCACGAATGCCAGTATTTGGGGGGGGGGTTTAATTAATTCTGTTGATTTTTGTGGAGTTTGTACTATAAATGAGAATGTACGATTTTTGCATGAATTAATGTGTTGGTCAAACAATGCACCTCCATTTTCCTGACAATTAAAAGCATGCATAATTCAAAATTATCTTTTGTTTTAGACAGTTTGTAAATAATATTGTATAAAAATATATACATATAAATAATGTATACCTTTGTTTTTAAATCTCTAAGATAAGAAGCATCACAACAAAACATGAATCATGCATGCTTGTCTTGAAGAGCAAGGTATAGGTTACCACTGGAATCTCTAACTTCTATGTTAACATTGTATCTGTTCAGAAGAAATTGTGATATATGATGCAAAAAATTATATTAAAATTTAAAATATATGAAAATAATTACCTGATAATAGTGTCGACTACGTCATTACAATGGATACACACCAATTTTGCAAAATGAGATTAACATGATTGTCCACAATTTTTGCATAACTCATGGAACATATTGTCTATGTTGATACTTTGAATGTAAGCAAGTATCCGAAAATATTTAACCTAAAACCATCCAAAGAATGTATAGATTACATTAATTCGAAACTACATGTAGATACTCGTTCATTACTTAATTAATTGAGAGGAATTGTACTGTAGGTATAACTGCATATTTGGATATCCATATTCTCTTAGCATTTGATATCAACAATGCTAGGGACATTGTAAAATTGCATGACTGCAACCACGCACTAATTTCTGAGCACATTTATCATTCTCAAACCTGCAAATTTTTCAAATACATATTCGTAAGGGTATGAAATATTATTAATAATTTAATATTTTGGTATTTGTAAAACTTACCAATTATGTAGGTATTGAGCAAAGTCCAAGTAGCAATTCACATACAATTTGCTTGCTTGAATAGTATAAAGTGACGGTCCTGCACAATGTGCTATATTTATTGATAAACTATAAAAATTAAATAAAATAAAGTGAAAATAAATTGAATTACCTTTATAATTTCTCACACAAATACCACAGGCTAGCAAAACATTTTTGTAATAGTTTGATGCAAGTGTTCACCATCATCAGTTGCAAATTTATCACATAAAGTCAACTGAACTACTGTCAAACTTCATTTAGAGAATTTTGGTAAGTATAAATCAAAATTTGTAGAATATAAAATATTTCAAAGATATTGAATCTATTAACTAACCTTTTGTCAAGTAAAAGTATGTCACACTTAGTTTTATCATTGATAGATGTTTGATAGTGTGAACCAACAGATACAATTAAACCAATTACATCTGCAAAAGATCAAAAAGTATAAGTAATACCAGTTCAAATATACAACTTAAATAGAAGTATGGTTAATTATGAATGAAATACCTATCAATTGCAAATCATTGTCCATGTGCTGTTCTGTATCTCTTAGTTTGACCAGATTAAACTTGAAACGGGGTATGGTTCGACAATCATCTAAAATATTCACTATCTTCGTATCGTTTCCAAACGATAATTGGTACTAATGCGGTGCAAGCTGTTATTTAAGATCTGTCGAAATTATATACATATATTTTTTGAAACCAGTATACCTTGCCTTCATGGAGATGATCTGCGAAAATGTTTATTATATTACTGCCTCTTATAAGTCCCTGCATGACAAATTTATGATAGTTTTCAACAGATTAGTAAATATTCAATATTCTATATTCAATATAATAAATAACATACGCTCTTAATTATTACCTGATCATCTACAAAAAGTATCTTGATACATCCCGAACGTTGAAGCACTCCATATATGGTCATATTTATTAATCGAAACAATCTAACCTTTACATTCCATCAGTATCCGCAAGGATCTAGATAGAGAAAAGGTATACATCGAATACTGTAAATTATTATAATATAGCATGAAGGTTAATTATTTAAACACTGTAGTTGAGACAGCAAGTAACACAAATTCAAAGAAGTACAAAAAAATGTCAAAGTGTGAAGCATATATAGTACATATAATATGAAGTAAATATACTATTTTTTTAAACAAAGCGATGTCCACAATTTATCAAAGGGAGTCAAAAATCTCACGATACACAATATTTTTTGTGTAATTCCATGGATCATTATCTCTATTAACAATGAGTATTTTCAATCCAACTGGCGAAGTAGCACGGGACAGAGCAACATAAAGTTGACCATGTGCAAACACAGGTTCAGGAAGGTAAACGCCAACATTTTTCAATGTTTGGCCCTGACTTTTGTTGATAGTCATTGCAAATGCCACTTTCACAGGAAATTGTCTCCTTTTAATTGGAAAAGGAGTCCGTGCACTCTGTGGTGTTAAAGAGATATGAGGTATGAGTACTAAATCTCTAATATTAGATCCTGTTATGACTTTTGCCTTGAGAACTTTATCCCCTATTCTAGTAACGACAAGTCGTGTTCCATTGCAAAGACCTTCTGACTGATTGAGATTTCTCAAAAAAATTATAGGAGTTCCTTCTTTAAGTCCAAAAAATGATTTGAAAGTCTAGGAAAATTCAAAAAATGCAACATTTCAAGAGATTCATATTTTCAACAATGTCACCTTTAGTATTGCAAAAAGTATCAGCACTCATATAGGCACGTGATTGACTAAGAAGTATTGATGGCATCTTATCATTCAACTTGTCAACATCACCATTTTTTGGAGCCAAAATAGCACATTCCTTGAGGTAAGTGCTATTTTTGTATGAATTTCTCAAATTTGGATAGACAGAATCTATTAACCGCATCAAAGATTGACTGTCATTTTTTATGAGAAATTGCGACAGCATCCGAATCCAATTTGATTCCCCAAATTCAGCAAGTAAAATTGCTGAAACCTTTCCTTCACCAACAGACAACAACTAATTTGCAAAATCTGTCAATTGCTGGCGCATATTTTCAAGAAGAGGTAAATTCATTAATTGCATATTTATTTTAAGATCCAGTACTCTACAGTGATCCCAAATCGTTGATCTTTTATTGTAGCTGATACTGTTGCTTTTCTTCTACCATTAGAAACAATCGGTAATATTTGTCGAAAATCACCACCCAAAACAACCAATTTTCCTCCGAAAATACAATCCTCAGAATCATTTTCACTCAACTTTAAAATATCCTTGAAAGTTCTATCCACCGCTTCAAATCCATGTCAATGTGTCATTGGAGTTTCGTCCCAAATTATCAAAGATGTCTCTCTAATTAATTTGGCTAAGTCAAAATTTTTATTGATTGAACAACTTGATGACATATCCAAATTAATAGGAATTTTGAAATGTGAATGCGCTGTCCTTCCATCTGGTAAGAGTGTTGCAGCAATGCCTGATGATGCAACTGAAAGAACAATTTTTCTCTGCGATCTAATTCGAGCAATAAATGTTCTCCATAAATAAGTTTTACCTGTCCCACCACTTCCATACACAAAAAATAGTCCTCCGTGATTATGTGTGTATGATTCCATAATAAGATCATATGCTTTCAATTGATCCTCATTCAAACTAGCATATAAATTATCAAATAATTGTTGCTCTGATGTAAAATCGTAATCAAGCTCTTCTCTTATAAGTCTATTCATGGAAAACTGAGCATTTTCAAATGACGGCAATGGCATTGGTGAAAAATCTCATAAAGATTGACCATTTTTATTCAAAATGAGTTCGAGTTCAACTAATTCCAAATTTTGTAACTCATCATCATCAATGCATATTTGAGAGTTTCCCATATCCCTTCTGATCTGATATTGCAAATCATCTGTCATACTTTTCCAGTGACGCTACCATATATCAAAAGGGTTAGTTACTTCAGAATGCATAAGTATTGTACAATACATGTTTCGTAATTTTTTGGCAGATGCCCATGTAGATGCTTCAGCTAAAGCTTCATTCCACTCATTATAATCATCTGAAAGACCAAGTGTTGCACATGCAGCTTTGAATGTTGGATGCACAACTCCATCAATAGTTCTCAAATGTTCAAAACTTCGTCCATCACGAATTTTATGCAGCAACATTCTCAAATAGTATCGCTCACCAGAATGAGGATGTGCATATGGTAGCCTTGCAATCTGGACTCCCATAGACGTTTATTTTGGTTCCAATTTCACTTACTCGGAAACTCCACAAACATCAAGTTTCTAGCTGAAACATCGCTTTGATTTATTTCAAACCATTTCGTCAACATTGTGTCATGTATGTGATCACGATCAAGAACGTCATAAAGATGATTATCATCGTTAAATATCACAAATTGATGATCAGGAAGATGATACTGCAATCTAATCACTAATGGATACTGTCTGTGCATTTCGAAATCAAATATCTTCCAACATGACTCAATTGGCGATAAATATCGACAATCTAAGTACTATTTAATCTCATCAGCGCTTCTGTAACGACGATGACCACTTTTGTGAGGACTCGAAAAGTTCTTCTTATTTTCTTAAAATATCCTTTTATTTTGATTAAATTACTTTATAATATCTTTACTACTCATTTACTCCCTCAATAGTTACAATAAATCATAGAATCAAGGGTTGTACCTTAAGTTTTATAGTTAGCGTAAATTAGGATTTTCGCGTATTTTGACCGTGTGATTACTTGGTGAACTGTGTGTACTAAATAAGAAAAAGTGTGCGATTAGAAGTGATAATAATAAATTAGTGAACCATAAGTAAAAACACAAGTACGTGCGAGTTAAGGAAAAACAGCTCGAACCGACGTACACCGTTTGCTACCGAGTGAGTACACCACTTGAACACTACTTTATTATCTTAATTTCCTTTCTTTTATTTCAGCTAATTACCCCTAAAATATCCTATAAAGAAGCCACCATTTTTGACCAAAGGAAAGGAAAGAAAAGAAAAAAACAAAGAAAGGAAATCTTGGCTTGACAAGTATCAAGGATCCAACCAATTTTGACCAAATTAATTTCCTATCTTCTTATCTTTCTTTTGGCTTCATTTCTTCTCCATTTCCTTCACCTTGGCTGAAATTCTAGGGAAAGAAAAGAGAGAAAAACTTCCAAAAATTTCATCTTGATAGCTTGCTTGATTCTTGAGAAAAGTAAAGTAAAACTTGAATCCACTCCGATAAATCTACGGGGAAGCTTGGAGGTAAGCTTGGTGCAACTTTTGAGAGGAAGAAAGTTCTTGTATCACAACTTATTTTGGGATTTTTGAGGTATTATACTAGAAACCTCTCTTTTTCTTTCTTATTTTGCAATTGAAGCAATGCATGACTTGATAGTGATGAATTTTATGGAAGATTTCATGGTCTTACTTATTAGCTTATAATTTTCAGCTAGTTTGTAATTTTCAATTGTGATTAAAGTTGTTTATCTTGTATATGATGTTTATGAGTTTGGATAGGGACTTGGCGTAATGATTAAAGGCATGGGTGTTAGTTTTAAGCATTGAAACATCAAATTTCCAATATTAATGATGAATTTGCCCTATTTTTGACCTATATATTCGTCCATGATAGAGGCCGAATCAGATTTAGATCAAAACATAAAAGTTGTAGGGAATGGAGTTAACTATCGGCCTGTAAACTTTCAGCTCAATCTGAGTACTGTATCATGTGAAATAACTAAAATACCCCTGACTGCCAAAAGCCCTATTTCACAGGCAGCTTTCTGTTTTCTCTGATATTGCACATTTTAACCCTGAAAATGCACAAACTGGGTGTCGATATCTTCATAGGAAATGTAGGTCTATGTCTTAGCTTTGAAACTCCATAAAATTTACCCCAATCCGATAAGTGTAGCTTCAAATGTGATTAAAACGCCGGAAGATGTCAAACCTGCTACTTAGCCATTCGTCTTCAAAACTGGTTTCCAACTTTGATTTTTATGGTTGCATTGCTAGAATTGCCTTGTATTTGGATGACATTAAGCGTAGTTGAAGGGTTATTGTGTTAAGATTGCTTATGTATGAATTTGGGCTGAGTTGAGGAAAAAAATGAACTCATAAATGGCTGAAAAGTGGCAAAATACAAAGGGCATGCTGCCCAAATTTCTATTACTTGCTTTTATAAATATTAGTGAGATGTAAGGTTTGAGTTTAGGGTTAGTTGGATCTTAAGTTACATATGTATCCTTGAATGCATTTCAATATTAATATATCAATTATTTTGACCAAGATTTGATATCAACTAAGATGAAAAGTGCTAGTTTTCTTTCGAAAACTTTGAATTACCTTTGCTCACTTCAATTTAGGATTGGTCATTCTTAGGGTTTGTCGGTGATTAAGGGCATAATCTGGAAGGAAACTTTTGACGTTATTTTACTTAAATTGGTGAGTGTTTTTTGTAGGTTATGCTTCAAATGACCATGTGGATTATTGTGAATGTTTAATTAAATGTTAAATATTTTCAATGATTGCTAAAATGAATTTTTGTTAGGCGAGTGTGTACTTTATCGTACTCGACCTAAATAAATGTGAAATTTTCAATGATTAAATGCTACTTGTGCATGAATGTAAGACTTTTAGTTGAATTGGCCCTTGCTCTTTGTTGCCAGTCGGCTCGAGTCAGAAGCAGACTCGGTCGGACGATTGGTGACCCTGAGATAATGTTTGGTATACTCGAGTATGACTACGAAGATTGGTGGAGACTATCCAGTGAATTGGCTAGTGGCGGGAAATGAAATGAATGAATGAATGAATGTCAAAAACATTGGAAGAGTTTTCATTTGCAAATGTTTTCTAATGTTGGAGGAATAAGAAAAATGGTTGGCGAACGAATGAACGAATGGCTCCACGTGAGCATATATCCTTTTAATGAGTGGGTTATTATTGATTTTGTATGTTAAATATTTTTTGGATTATTTTCTATTAAATGATTAATGTCCTGGATTTAATTGCTCGATTATGTGTATGGAACCTCACTGGCTTTTAGTTCATTCTTTTAGTTTTGTTTTCCTTATAAGGGATACGAACGAGGTGTGAGACTTGTACAGGCTAGCGTAGTCTAGTTTTTTTGGATTTTACAATTGTACTCGCGCTAGTGCTGGACTAGAGTTGGTTGCACCTGGATTGTAAACACCTTGATATATTTGGGTGTGTATAAGTCTTGTAACTGGATTTGAGTATTGATGTATATGTTAAGTTTGAAATCGTTGTTTTATTTCTTTTCTATGGTTGTAAGTTCTTTTCTTGAGTTAAATGTGAGTGAGTCCCGACGAGAGTTGGGCAGGCGAATCGCTAAACCCTAGGGTACGCTCTAGGAGGAGGTGGGGTCATCACAACTTTCATTTGCAAGTACAACGTTATTCTCAATCTGAACATTTACTCTACCAACCCCCATTACTCATGTACTTGTACAGATATTTAGTGATTTCCGGACGTGTAACTTTGGTCACATTGATATGACCATCAAACATCACAATCAAATCTCGATTATAAGAAACAACCCATCTGTTGCCAAATGTAAAACCATTAATAGTTACCCTCTTATTTGAATCATCTCTACGTCTGTATGATACAAATTCATTTTCATCAATAGTGGTTTCACTACAAAATTTTTTTGGATAGTGTTTAGAGCACTTTCCATTCACCATACACGGAGCATTTGGATGAGTATCACCACAGGGTCCGTGTAACATGCACCTAATGACCGTATCATAAGCTAGTGTGTCAGCATTTTTGTCAGGTATTTCAGCACAAATGATATCATCAATTTGCTCTGGAGTAAGGGGCTTATCATCCGGAGCTAATGTTAGAGTGATATGAGTATGTGGTAAATCACGTTTTTGAAATTCAATGACAGAGATGTCTGCACATTATGGAAGTAATCTTAGTGTATAGTAGAATATAGGGATTGGAAAAAAAATTAATAATTTAAATAAAGTAAAATTTGTACCTGCAAGCCCTTTTCCAAATAATTGGGTATTTTTTAAAACATCCATCAAATTTTTTTGTCTTATCCGAAAAATCGAACCGTAATATCTGGTCTGTCCTCAACTTTCTGTCCCGATATTCTTGTCAACTCTTGTTTAATTTCTGGCCAACTGGGATTGCAAGTAAATGTAATGAAAAGATCTGGATTTTCAATTGTCCTACAAATTGCCATCGCATCCTGTCCTTCCAACTACTGATTCATCTGTACCTCCAGCAAGTACAACATCTTCTAAACCTTGATATATATCAGCATGTAATATAGATTGATGGGTTTTTATAAAATTTAATCTGTAGTGTTCAATAGCTGCATAACAATCAACAACGAATTGTTGAAATAGTTTGGCACCTTTCAAAAGTTTGTGGCCTTCATTTTGTCGAAATTATATACGATACGCATAGAATTCGCGCATCGACACAAATTCTCTCTTCCTAACGGCAGAGGGTGAAAATCTTATTGCACAATGCCATCCGTCTATTCCATATGAAAATAGTAAAGGGTATTGAAGTGGCATATATGATGGATGTGTCTCACTGATTCTTTTCAAATTTCCATCTCGAGTGACAAGCACAATATCACGGTGTGTGACATGACCAGTATCTTCACCGACAATCAAAGCAGCAACTTCATTTGCAGTTGGTTGGATATATTGTCTGTCACCTCGAGCACTAATTATCTATACTTGCATATTGACAATATTTTGATTTCGAAGCATGTCTCTTGCACTTCGAAAAACTTGTACATATGGATTTATTTCATCTAACATATTTTGCAATCCTTCAATTATTGATGCATCAATCCCAATTGGATTGCCATCATGACTATTCAGAAGATTCATACGATTCTGCAACTCATTGTCAATATCATGAATGTATAATTGTATGAATCTACTTAATTCTCCAAGAGGTGGCAAAAGCGATCCGATTAGATGATAATTTTCTCCACTAATTCGAAATGAATATGGTCCGACAGAATTGACTACAGAATGATCTATTTTGCCTCCCATGGATGTAAACCCGAATAGTGCATTCAGCAATCGAATCTTCTCTTTCAATGTTGAAGTGGTAAATATATGTTGTAAAACTTAGGGAGTTTGAGGCAAGAACAGTAAAACAACATTCCCATCTTAACAATATAAATTCAATCTTGGATTTTATTTTGTACTACCTTGAATTCTTTCTTC